ATACCACATCTTCTTTATCCATTCATCTGTCGATGGACATCTTGGCTCTTTCCACAGTTTGGCTATTGTGGACATTGCTGCTATAAACATCGGGGTGCAGGTACCCCTTCAGATCCCTACTTTTGTATCTTTGGGGTAAATACCCAGTAGGGCTTGCACTCTCTTTTTAATTATCTTTCCTTTAGGATCTATGTGTTCCTGGGTCTTCTGTCCCCGTGAAAATTAAGCCAGCTAGATGGACAGTGAGAGCCCCCAGTGTAGAACTATTCCCCCACACACGGGGAAACGGATGTTTTCAGAAAGTCACTTTAGTGTTGGCACCCAGATTGTCGTGTGCGGGTGTAGAAGAAATCAAGCAGAAGTTTACAGTCTGCTAAAATAACACAGCAAATTAGATTTGAGCTGACAAAGACCTGTTAGCTTTTCATCCAATTTCATCTTTCCCCTGATATTTTCAGTGAACACAGGTGTCTTCTAATTTTTCTTGTCACTCTACTTTACTGTTTCTTGTTTGTCATGGGCTTACAGCATTCTGAGTCCCTAAGTCTTGTTCAGCAGCACTCTGAATATCTTTTGTTCTCTGCTCCCTGTTCTTTTTTTTTTTTTCCCTCCCCTTAACTTTTTCCTCCAAGTTTTTAAGGCCATATTTGTAAAGTGTCAGAAGTACTTGGATTTATAACCACGTTTCTTCCCTGGTCTGCTACTGCAGTTTTTAATGTTTATGTTTTTTCTAAACCAATGGGAGAGATGAAATTTTCATTTGCAAAGGAAATTTGCAGTTCCTTTATTTGGGGAGATTGCCTGAAGCCTAAGAATCAACCCTACAACCCTAATAATACATTAAGATTTATACGGTATTAAATTGTGGATTCCTTTGTAGAAGACCTCTGGAAAATTCATGACCTAGGAGCGAAATACCAGGAAAGCCGAGCTGAAAATTCAAGGCAAGTCCAAGATTTCGATTTTAAGATTAGAAGCCTTGTAGTCAGAAAGTATTGATGGGAGTACTGGAAGTGGGAAAACACTAGTTCATACTAAATGTGAGAAAACTAACACTGGAGTGAATTCCAAAGCATATAACCCAAATGGGAACGCACTCTTCCGTAATGGAGATCTTATTCAGGACCAGGAGATTCAAACTCTGAAGTTTCGTCTTTTAACTCTTCTGAGTTACACAGTAAGGGAGGCTTTGTAGATCTCAGGCATTTGAGAGACTCTGTGCATACACAGGGAAGGTTCCTTCTACCAAATGTCAAACCACAGTGTGTGTCAGAGAACGTAAGTGGAGAAACTGAATCTAATCAATATGGGAAAATCTCTGGAAGTTGGTTCTCAGCTAAGCTAGTGTACCTTAGACATTACTGAATTTGGAAATTTCTTTCTAGGAATGGAGAACTCACAAAACACCAGCAAACTCAAGCCAGAGAGAAAATCCATAAATGCAATGAATGTGGAAAGTCCTTCTGCCAGAAGTCTGTTCTCGTAATACATCAGCATATTCATTCAAAGGACAAACCCAGGGAATGTGGAGAATCTGGCTCTAGAAATGGAGACCGCACAGTACAACAGAAAGCCCACACCAGAGAGAAAACCTATGAATGTAAAGAATGTAAGAAAACTTTCTATCACCTGTCATCTCTTAGTAGACATTTGAGGACTCACGCAGGGGAGAAACCCTACGAATGTAATCAGTGTGAGAAATCCTTCTACCAGAAGCCACACCTTGTAGAACATCAGAAAACACACACAGGAGAGAAACCCTTTGAGTGTAGTGAATGTGGGAAGTTCTTCTATGTTAAGGCATACCTCATGGTACATCAGAAAACACACACAGGGGAGAAACCGTATGAATGTAAGGAATGTAGGAAATCCTTTTCCCAGAAATCACACCTCACAGTACATCAGAGAACACATACAGGGGAGAAACCTTATAAATGTAAGGAATGTGGGAAATTCTTTTCTAGAAATTCACACCTCAAAACTCATCAGAGAACTCACACAGGAGAGAAACCCTATGAATGTAAGGAATGTGGGAAATGCTTCTACCAGAAGTCAGCTCTCACAGTACATCAGCGAACTCACACAGGGGAGAAACCCTTTGAATGTAATAAATGTGGAAAAAACTTTTACTATAAATCAGACCTCACTAAACATCAGAGAAAACACACAGGGGAGAAGCCCTATGAATGTCATGAATGTGGTAAATCTTTCTCTGTGAATTCAGTCCTCAGATTACATCAAAGGACGCACACAGGAGAGAAACCCTATGAATGTAAGGAATGTGGGAAATCCTTCTCTCAGAAGTCACATTTTATCATACATCAGAGAAAACACACAGGGGAGAAACCCTATGAATGTCAGGAGTGTAGGAAAACTTTTATTCAGAAATCAAAACTTACTGCACATCAGAAGACACACACAGAGGGAAAAAGCTGATAAATACTATGAATTGGGAACTTATTTTGGAATTCATCCTTCAGAATAATTGGATAATTCACACAAGACAAAAAACTTAGGAATATCAATCTCAGAAAATTTCAGTCAGTCTTTCTTGACAGAAAAGGAAATATACAGAAATTCTTTAAATCTATGAGGGAGAGCTTTTTACCATATGTCAGACTTAATTAAGTATCAGACAACCTAGAAATTGTAAAACATGAGGGACACCGTTGTTTTAGAAGTCATACTAGATCGCACAACATAGAAATCATATGAGAGAAATCCTATAAAAACAAATGAATGTCAGGAAATTTTCTGTCAGGGCAGCCATCACTAGATATCTAAAAGCTTACCTGAGTGAGAAGCTCCTATCAGTATCCTTCCCGAGCATTCAGAGACCTTTGACACCAGGTGGACTTGGAGCACTCGAAGGTGTAACTGCACAGACTGCAACGGATACAGAAGCCTTTATCGGGAAGTGATGTTTCAGTGAACCTCAGATCTGTGATGCTGGGATAGAACCTTTGCAGACATTTCAAATATGTGAAAGTTCCTTGACAAAAATTCAAAGAGAATCTGTACTGAGTGAGGGTAACAGTTACACCAGAAGTCATGTTGCAGCAGTTGGATTCTGAGGGGTTTTCTTTGTTTTTTGGGTTTTGTTTTTAAGAAACCTATCAATGTCTAGATATTTGAAGCTTTTTAAAAAGCACAAACACATTGAAAAAACCAGATGATATCCTTACACACATGTGAAGAATCCTTTAGTATGTAGAACTAATGTGTGTCAGCGCACTACAAGACAGGTTGTGGATGTTTATGTGCACGTGGATCCCATCCATAATTGTACATAGGGAAATATGTAGCCTTGGTTCAGGAGTTTTCACGTATGTGAAGATATTTCACGTTATGTCTCGGCATCGATTCCTGTTGTTACTCTAATGTGTATTTTAAATGTAATATTCTTTTAAAATTTAATGCATCTTTTTCTATTTCCTTGCATTTTTAAATGAATACAGACATTACTGAACCAATCCTTCAGAAAGGTCAGCTGAGTCTTACATTAGGGACACATTTATTCGTAAGAAAAGACTGAAATTATTTTTGAAAACACTTAAAACATAACACTACGTAAAGAAGTAGTATTTATCTTACTGTTGATGTTTTAGCAGGGGGCAGAGCTATCTGCCTTAGAATTTTGTATGAGTGTCTTAAGAATGTTCTTCACTGCCTTTTTCTTCATAGCAGAAGCAACATGGTAGTGGTTAAGAGATGTGGACCCTGGACTCTTACTGCCGTGGCTCAAATTCCAGCATGGGGCATGCCACTTAACCTCTCTGTGCCTCTGTTTCCTTTTCTATAAACGAGAAGTGATAATGGTAGGATTGCTTTGACATAGAAATGAGTTAATATTTTTAGAGCACTTAGAATAGTGTCTGAGACACAAGAAAAGCATATGTTAGATACTATTATCATTATAATTTGTATTTCTTGAATTATGCTGGAAAAAAAGTTGGCTACCAACATTCACCACTCACTTTATTGCTGTAGTGCCTTGGTTTGGCTTGGTTGTGCATTTTCCAACAAAGGATTCAGATATTCAGATGTGACCCAAAGCCCGTGTTTGTATCCTACAAGCCAAGAATGGTTTTGCATTTCTAAGTGGGTGGAAAAAAATAAGGAATATTTTGCAACACGTGAAAAGTATATTCAAATTTCAGTGTCCACAAATAAAGTTTTATTAGAACACTAATAAAAACCATTTGTCTCTGTTTTGCCTGAGGCTGCCTTTAGCACTACAAGAACAGAGTTGAGTAGTTCTGACAGAGACCGTATGGCTCAACAGAGCCTGCGACAGTTACTATCTGGCACTTTACAAAGTTAAGTTTTTCTGTTACTTAGAGCTGAAAACACCATAATCAATGTATATGATGTACTTTTATATATATTATGTGTTTCAGAAATGATGCATACAGCAATTTGTGGGTGGGTGGTTTTCTGCAGTGTATTTATTTTGTATATTGTATTTATATGTTAAAAGCCTAAGCATTAGAATTTTTTCAAATACATGTGTTTTATTTGTTGAACTGTCATAAAATCAAAACATTTTCTGATGGAATGTAGCAGTACATGTATAAAATAAACATTGTCTAAATTAAATCAAATTGTCAATTGGTCCCTACTTAAAAATACTCCCTTATTTTCTTCCAAGTCAATGGCCAGTGTTCCCTATATCATTTTATAATTTTCTCACTATACCATGACCATCTCTGTCATACTTAACTAGCATAATCTAATAACAAAAACCTTACAATGCCCAACTCCACCAGCTACGTTACTAGTAATCTACACTCCTAGTATTACTACAGTACCAGTAGAATTATTTTATTGCCTAAACTTCATGATTGTGAAATGCTGCTCCGATCTAAATCCTGCCACTTGCCCGCCCCTTCCAAATGATGACTTTCGTGATGCTCAATTTCTTTTTTTTTTTTTTTAAAGATTTTATTTATTTATTTGAGACAGAGAGAATGAGAGAGAGAGAGCACATGAGAGGGGGGAGGGTCAGAGGGAGAAGCAGGCTTCCTGCCGAGCAGGGAGCCCGATGCGGGACTTGATCCAGGGACTCCAGGATCATGACCTGAGCCAAAAGCAGTCGCTTAACCACCTGAGCCACCCAGGCGCCCATGTGATGCTCAATTTCTTAAACATGCCTTGATTTGTCTGCTGTTTACCACCAATGAACACCTACTGTGATATTTAGTAATTGCTTTGCTACCTATATAACTTCTAAATACTCAAACACAATAAATATTGTTAAAATACTCTACCCAACACTGACATGAGCATGCCATCGTGATGATAGCTATGCTTTCAGAGTAGTTCTTTATTTCAACCTGCTGCGAAAGCAAATGTTTCCTAGTTTCCCCTGGCTTCTCAATCAAAAGTTAAATAAAAATTACTGCTTTTTGAGGAAAATCCAGTAACTCTGGATTTTGAATAATACAGAATAATGTCTGTACTAATGAAAAGACTTTAAAGATACTCTGAGAATAAAATATTCCTGACCTTCAAAGTCAAGAAGGATGGAGGGAGACTGACTGCCTCTTGGCCAGAGTTTTAAGTCATGAATTAGTAACCATAAGAATCGAAAGATCAGAGACAATCACCAGATCAACTGATGGGTGTTTCATCAGATGCACACATGCTTAAGAGGGCCAGCCAGCCTGATAGTTCCACATTTCTGAAGGCCAATCAGCAACAGCATTCACTATGACCATGTTCTGGAAAGTCAGAAAGTCAGCTACAGCCTCATTCCAGTGACCAAACTTTTTTGTTTTTTTTAAAGATTTTATTTATTTATTTGAGAGAGAGAGAATGAGAGAGAGCACATGAGAGGGGGGAGGGTCAGAGGGAGAAGCAGACTCCCTGCCGAGCAGGGAGCCCGATGCGGGACTCGATCCCGGGACTCCAGAATCATGACCTGAGCCGAAGGCAGTCGCTTAACCAACTGAGCCACCCAGGTGCCCAGTGACCAAACTTTTACAACGGAAAGCCAGTCAGTCCCTCAACATTCCTGTTTTTGCAAGCCCACCAATCCCTGAATCTATTTCCCAAACTTGTATCACTTCTTACTTTCCTGGACTGATTTATAAGTATAGCCCTTCTTTGGTTAGTATCATGGTCAAAGGAAAACAGTATCAATTCCTTCTCTTATTCCATTCTAAAAAGCTATTCTTTTTTTTCTCCTCCTCTTAAGTCTGCACTGGCCTTGTGACTTGCTTCAGCTTAGTAGAATATGGCAGAAGTTCCAGGCCAACACTTTAGGAAGTGTGGCAGTTTCCACTTTCCTTCTTGAAGCTAATCATCATGCAGAAAGTTCAACTAGTCTGAAATTACCAAGCTGTGAAGAAACTCAAGCTATGAGGAGAAAGCCCCATATAATTCCAGACATGTGAGCAAAGTTTCTTTAGACCTTCTGAGCCAGCCCCATCACTGGCTGAATTTAGCCAGCCAAACAAGACTTCAGCCAATGCCATGTGCAGCAGAGAAACCACCCACTCTACAAGAAATAATCAAGAAATAATCATGTTAAACCATTAAGTTTTGGGTGTTTTTGTTACACAGTAATAGATAACTGAAACAGAAAGCGAGCCATAAATTAAGCTTTAGATATTGATTAGTCTCTTCTTTCTCAAAAAGTTGTGCAGCATACGAAGCCCTTAGAAGTTTGCCACATTAATAACACTACAATGACCATTGTTTAATCTGATGTCAAAAAAGGCTTTACCCACATACAACAATCTACCCCCATGAAAGAGAGCAATCCTAGCTCAACTACACTGTCTCGTGCTGCCACCCCAATTACAGCTGTATACTGGAAATTAAAAAGACTAAACTCCAATGATGGGGAAATTGTCCAGACATTTTTTTACAGTAATGGTTCTATTTAAGAGAATAGAGAATAGGTCCCCTTCAACAAGTGACCAGATCTTGCTTTATCTATGAAGTTCTGATTTGGCTTCGGACCCTCCCTCATGGAGCATTATAGCTCTGGGCCAAAGAGGTGTTTTGGGTTGTCTGGTTGATATAGGGCAGGGCAAGTACTGGGTTGCTGTGAGAGAGTTAGAGGAGGAGGTTGGGGCTGGGACTAGTTGGTTTACATTTGAAAGGTGAGCTCCAGGATCAGCCCTTTGCCAACTCTAAGAGAGGAAGGCTCTCCCTGGCCAGCAAGCTTTTTAAAGTTGCCAAACATAAAACACAGAAAAAACATGATTAATACACGATGCTTTCAGAAAAGCTCAATATTCCTTAGCCTAAGGTCCTATGACTACTCCTCATGATAATGGCAATGTGATCTATACTTTTAAAATCCCTATAAACTCTCATGAAATTGTTACTAAATGACCTGAGAAATAGCTTGAATTTTCCCCTCATAAATTGAGGTTATCAAACATCTAATGTCATGTAAACTGTATGCCTGAAAGGTAAGAACTGCATTTCCTAAAGTAAGGTCACCAGAAACACCTCTGCATATTCTATAATGAGATTATATATGTTAAAACAGACACCAATCAATGTCAGTCTTAAAGTCACATTGAAAAGGATCATTTCCTGTATTTATATGCTTAATAATAAATGCTACAAGAATAAAACCATGGATAAAAATTACTGATCCATTTATTTCTGCCTTTGGAACAAATGGACAAAACAGCTTAAGTTGTAAAGGCCCCACAGACTAAAATACATCCATTCATTGGAGTAATACCAAGAAATAACATTGATGTTGAAATATTGCACAGAAAGACAGAATCTTTATATATGTCTGATTCCCAGGTGCTAAACCACTGCTACACAGCCAGGATGCTCAGCCAACAGTAAATGGTGATTCTGCACTAAAGAGATTAAGGGCTTCATGGTCAAAACCGTTTTGACCAAAATGAGGGAAACGGAGAAACTCTAGTGAGGCAAATGGTACAGATCTAACTAATGTGGAGGTGCTAGGAGAAGAACACTGACACTGTGTAAGAGGCAACCTGTGAATAATACTTAAGAGTTAAACTCTCACTCTTTTTCAGAGAATCCATAAAAATTAGTATTTTCTTGGATGTCCTGGGTAGGCTACTTAAACGTAGACTTCCCAGAACGATTTCTGTTAGCTGCCAAACTACTAAATTTACCTAAAAAAAAACAGAAGAGTTAAGATTCACTGTTCTCATTGTATCTCATTTCCCATTTATCCTCATAAATGAATCCTATATTTTAGCACAACTATGTGGTATGAGTAAATTTGTGTACAGAATAGCTCTTAATTAGCTTTTTGATGGAATATGGACTCCCTAATTATAGACATCTGTTCAGAGGTTCCAACACCATAAGCAACATCTCACCATCTCATCTCATCCCATCATTCCCTTGGCTTGAAATTCTCTCTTTCCCTCCAACTCTCATCACACCCTGGGGGGAGTCCTTGCAAGACTGTGTGACCAGCCCATCTCACATGTGTGTGACAAGACTGGCCTCAGCTTTCCACATAGTGCCTGCCAATCTATTTCATCCTAGAATCCTCCTTAGGAGAGCTTAAGATTGACCAAAATCTCCCCCTGAAGAGGCAGAGAGCAGCCAGAGGTGGTGGCTGATACCAGTACCTCAGACCGTCCCTGCCTCTTCTAGGAGCAGAATGTTCATACCATGAAACTAGAGAGCTGCCGTTTCTGGAAACCTCCATGACATGTGCCCTCGGTGTCAACAGTCCAATTCCCAGAAAAGCACTAGGGCCAGGAGAGGTGCAAGGTTCTGTGCTACAGATAACCTTTTCAGGGTATTGGAAGCCTGGTCATTTAAAAAAAAATTTTTTCCCCATAAAACAGAAAAGAATGGAGGATAACATGAACACCTATCCCCATTAACAAGTAAAAGATTACAAAAATCAAAGCCATGGGTATCTTTGCAAAATCATTCCCCAAACTACAACCTTTCCACTCTGAACTATTCTAAACTTGTTTATCTTCTCTATTTACTTATACTCTTACTTTACATCTAGAGTTTCTATCTAGAAATAATAGATATTATTTGCTTTGCAAGTTTTCTATCAGTGTGGTAACATGTAAGCTCTTCTGAAACTTGCTATTCAATTCTATGGTTTTGGATTTATCCATATTGATCTATGTATATAGCTCAAGTTGAATATTTAAACTATTATATAATATACTTTATAAAACTACAAGAACCGTTTCAGTTGTTGAACATTTAGTTTCCAATTTTTTATTATTAGTGAAATGTAATTTCACTATATGAAATAAGAGAATTCACTATTATAAATACAATTACTGCCCATACTTTTGCCACTGAGTTAAGAATTTCTTTATAGAGTGTTTTAAACATTTAAAAAAAAACTTCCACACTATAAGAAATAATTTATTATACTTCATGACCAACACACCCACAAAAACATATTAATTCATTCACAAAACTTTATTAAGTACCTACCATTTATCAGGAACTATTTTAGGCATTTTGGAAATAGTAGT